TCCCTTAAAGACCTTGCCTTTTTATGCCAATGAACAATTTCTCTGCCCATGCATTTGATATTCTGTTGTTTAGCATGACCCCCATGATTACATCCTTGTGGAATAATGACGCGTCCTTCTAGCGACACCAGACAAGTCCTGGGATGTGATTCCATGCGACAGAGCTTGACAGGAGAGTGTGTTCAAAGCCAAAGAACAGATTTGCAAAATCAAAAAATCCTTAGAATTTCAGCTTCAAATCCTGGCAGGATTGAATTAGCTTTTTTTTTTTTAATCTGGAATAGTTAAACTTAGTTTCATGTGTTTTGTCTGAGTACTGTGTGTGGGAGTGGGAATCTATACCATTCAGATGGAAGCTTTCATCTGTTTCAAGCCCGTATGTATATTAAAACAGCCATGGAATTTTATATGTGCTCAAAGCCTAAAAATATCTTCACAGACCTTAAGAGAATCAGGCAGTGGGCTGAAGAAAGATTTAATATTCAGTATTTCTTATTTCTATTTCTTTCTGCATTATTTTTTATTAAAAGTTGGGTTGGCAGAAGCTTGAAATTTTACTCTGAAAACTGAGCAATCATATAGTTAATGCATTCTATTAAGATGACAATTGCAAACACTTTAAAACAAAACAAAACCACAATAGATTCATCAACAGCAAGGTTTCTGGGCCCTAGTTGTCAAAATAAGAGTCTTAAATTTCCTTTTTTATTTTGTTCAAAAAGCAAAGAAGCTCCAGTAGTGTTGGCAATATAATCTTAAATTTCCTTAGGTTAAACTTACAGAGAAAAGTATATTTCAGAGGAATATTCAGCATTAGTGGATGGGAGTCTATCCTGAAAATGGGTGTACTTAGGTCTTACATTGAGGTCATAATTCTGAATACTTAGGCTTCTGTATCATAACTTCTTTAAATAATTTGTCAAATTCAGAGCACTTTTTTTTTTTAATTACTAAAGGACAATGTGTCAGTCTATCTTATGAAGCAATAAAGCTTGCTCTATTAGGTACAACTGAATGAATGAATGTCTGCACCACAATAGGATTCTAGTGTATTGGAAAGCCACTGTTTTCCTCTTCTCAAACATTTTGGAGCTGTTTATGGATTAGCTTTGGGTTTCCAGGCCAATGTCTCAATGTCTAAGGAACTGTGGATACATTATGGAATTACCCACCCCTTTGCTCCATGACCCTGAGATCAATACACTTTCCCTGCACTCAACCCCACGGTCCCACTTCCTCTCCTTCTACCCACTCCTTCACATGAAAGTCAGAACTAGAGCATATGAGCAAGTACCTATTTTTGGTAAATGCATTGGTTTATCACATCATTGAATAACCATGAAAATCTCTCCCTGAATATTTGAATCATTTCATTTATAGTCAAGGACACTTTCTCAAAATGAACATTTTTAAAGCCAACAAATTTGACTACACATCTGGGTTTGAACTCAACAGAGGCAGAAACACTATAGTTAATCTACTAATTTGTGTTGCTATTCTTATCTAGTGGTCTCACTTTGAGGAAACCACAAAGATGCCATTTGAGAAGTCTTATCTGTAGGGGTGGGGCTGCATTGAAGATGTTGGACTTTTGGGCAATGATTACATAAAACACATCATAAAGTGGTGAAAAAGATTTTTAGTGGACGTTGTTTTCTTAACATGCTTTATCAGAGTAGTAATTTTGAATTATGACAATTTGGAAAGAATAAATGTAGTTTGACATCATGCAAAGAACAAATCACTGAATTTAGGAACAAGGAAAAACTGAAATCTAGTTCTTTCTATGCCATTATGTAATTTTGTTGGGTTGAGCAGGTTTCATACCAATATGGTATCAATTCCTTCTTTATAAAATAAGAAATCAGTTTAGATAAGAATTCCCAAAATTTGTACTTTACACTTGTAAAATTATCTGCAATAGTACCATTAATTTTTGTGATGAAATGAATTGGGAAGTGTTCTATACTCTGTCCTCCAAATGTACACATACATATTAAAGTCTGTGAAAAGATCTGCAGTTTAAGTCCTGGCTTAACTTCAGTATTTTCCAAAAAGGTTTTCCTGGGAGTACATTTTAATATCTTTTAGGAACAGAGTATCACTAACACCTTTTGGAAAACTTGGGGTCCCTCTGCCTCGTTTAAGTTTTTAAGGTACTTTCCAGTATTAAACTTTATGATCTAGGATTTTAATCTGAGGCAAGGGACAATTCTTTATAAGAAAAATTAATTGTATTTTCTATCTTATAGAAAGCCCTATGTTGCTTCATATGCTTATTAGCCTGCACACACTTTCCCCCTTCAAACTCCAATTCCTTGTTTGAACAAAATAATAGGCTTATCTGTAAGTAACAGAGACATTCTGTAACCTCATGGATATTATTTTTTGTTTTTCTGGAAAACCATGTCTATCATCACATAATATAATACATTTAGTCTAATGAAATTTTAAGCTGTGGGCTGGTACAAGTTTATAAAGGCATTACATTTTCTGATTATTCTTAAGGACATAACATTAGAGTATATGTATTGTTGATTTTACCTATTGTCAGAGTGCTTTTTTGGGCAACAATCTATACCTTTTAGTAAGACAAAATAAATGGAAAGAATGCAGGCTTATGTTTAGTAGATGTTCAATTTCTTTATGATGAAAATCATTTTTGCTTACAACTTTCAGTCGAGTTATTTTATCATAGTAGTTGCAAATGTATTGTATTTTGATTTTTAAAAATGCTTCCAATGGTTTTAATATATAAAAGTAAATGCTTTGTATTTTATTCATCATAAAAAATGTTGACAATTTTCCCAATTACGTACTCTCTGATGGGCCACTCTTTCTCTAGAGTTAGGTATTGAGATGATAAAATACTTGCAGTACCCACAAGGTGGCATGGCCTTCTTGTTCATTTCAGTTTCATTTAGGGTTATTTCTGCTTTATCTGCTGCTATATTTTAGATTCTACTTTTTATTAAAGTTTTGAATTTCACTTTATGGTTTTATTTTTCCTCCTTTGCAGCCCAAGGACAGGACTGGAATTTCTAGAGAGATGTATTTTTCAAAGCGATATTCAAGTAGAACTGTAGTGTTTTCTATCGTTCCAGTACATTTTGGAGCTGAATTTAAATTATTTGGCTTTGTATAAAGCTTAGTTATCCTAATGCCTGATGAATATTAGGTACCCAATAAATATTTGCTGTGACATTTCATGAATTGCCCTGTGTGTGCAGGGGGGCAGTGCTCAGTAGTATCAGAACAGTTTAGGGAAACTTTATATCAAATCTACTTGCTTGTCTTCCATTGTCCAGGAAGTCCTATTATTTCATGACATTTAAAAAATATGTCATGGATTCGGATAGAATTTCCATTCTATATCAATTCTAAGAAAGGCATGGCTAGCTAGTTCAGTTTAGCCTTTCCTCTTTCACTCAGTAAGTCATTTTTCAATCCTCCCTCTGTACCCAGCACTGTGCTATGTACTGAAGAAGATATGAGGATGGGCAGAATATAGTTGAGTGCAGAAGCACCAAATAGCGATAGCAAGTAGTCACTCCCTCACTCATTCATTACCAAATATTCATGGAGAGTTTATAGTATGCCAGGTGTTGTAGATGGTGCAGGGAGAATAAAGTGGCCCCAAATCTTACATCAGAGTAGACACACAATAAACTAGGTAAATAAGTCAAATGAAGGAAATACAAACAGTGGTTGATAATGACATATGCTAAGGAGGGAGGAAAAAAAAGAAGCAGAGCAGGAAGACACTTGGGATTGATAAGGGAGGGTTGGAGAAGACGATCCTTTTATTTTGTGAAGTGAGACAAGGCCTTTGTAAGAAGGGAGACTTTGTGAAAAACCCAATGGTGCAAAAGTGAGCCACATGGTGTGTGGCTTTGCAGCAAGGAAGGGACAGGCAAAGGCTCCAGGGTGGGAGTGCATCACTATTTGTCTTAGTATGTTTGGCTGCTAAGGGAAAATTCCATAAGCTGAGTGGCTTTTAAAAAACAGAAGTTTATTTCTCATAGTTCTGGAGGCTGACACATACAAGATTAAGGCAGAGGGTGTCTGGTGAGGTCCTACTTCCTATGCAGGGACGATGCCTCCTGTGCCCTTACATGGTCTACATAGTGAAGGGGACAAGCGGTCTCTCTGGGGCCTGTAATTGTAAGGACACTAATCTCATTCTTAGGGAACTATCACTCTGGCAGTTAGCATTTCAACATAGGAACTGGGGGGCGTGGGTCGACATTGTTTTAATGTGTAGCACCACAGTCTTACTTATAGAGAGACGGGAGCTAAGGCAAGCTTCTTCACAGGAAGCTACAGAGGAGTTTGTGAAAGAAGGGAAATTTACCTGGAACCACATGAGGGTAGAGAGAACAGCAGAAACAATGCCCCAGAGGCAGAAGAACCTAAGATATGCTTGTACAGGAAGCAAGAACTTGAGGCTGAAAATGAGACCAAAGTGCAATTTCCTGTGTAATGGGCACTGAGGAGGGAAAACATTGATTTTACTGGACTAATTTTTAGGGGGGAAATATCTCAACAGCTTTAATTGAGATGAATCTTGAAATAAAATTAACAGACAATATATGCACAGTGTAATTCAGATTTGTTTTTCACAGAGATCCGTGTTCCTTCTCATAAGGTTTATGAAGTCTTGACCTCAGGATGTCTAAGAGGACAGATAGTAAAAGTTTTGAGCATCCTATATTTTCTTGATACTAGTTCTGCTTTTGTGATAAGGCCCCAGGATATAGTGTCTACCTTGGAATGTACTAAATTTTAGGGTATCTGAGATCTCTACAATGGATAGTGTAAGTCTCTTTTATGAAAGGTTTCACCAGAGGGACAGCTCAAGTGATTTCTATCGGATGGATTTTTCTAGGTTTAAAACTTTTAGTGGGTGTCAGAAAAGGAAGAGGATGGGCAAATATTCCTTGAGTGTTTTGGAGAAAACAGAATCTGATGCTTTAAACTGCTATAGTTCTTTTTTTCCCTTGTGATGCTGGGGATTGAACCCAGGGCCTTGTGCATGAAAGGCACACATTCTACCAGCTGAGCTATACCCCCAGCCTACTGCTGTGGTTCTAAACAAATGGATACATCTGCTGCTGCAGTTACCCAGTTGCTGTTTTTTATTTATTTTATTTTTCTTTAAAGAGTTGATTCTCTAACCAGGGAGAGGTAGAAGAGAAATAACAAGGGAAGAAAAATATATTACTTTATCACTTTCACTTCCCTCTATTCCCTTAATTCCATATGCTTATGTACCTGCTACATACATATACATGGGCACCCCTATATTCTCAGGGTTATTGATAGGTATCTGTATGTTCTTTGTGGGACGATGAGATACTGATCTCTTCTGGGTAATCCAAGGCAACTCCTTTTACACCTTAGAGTGTTAGTTTTCTATTATATAAATATATGGTGGACACTAAGTGGACACAAAGCTTGCAATTCCTCACTGAAAGATTATTGCAGGAGTAAATGAAGTCATCCTATGAATGAGTTGATCATTATGCATATATGTACAAACACTCAGCACTGAGAACACATTTCTGTTTTTAGTTCAAACTGTGTTTTGAATTTCAAGTGACCTGTTTTCAGAAATGCTACTTTTAGGAACAAAACAACATGATTAGACTTATGAGATAGAATATTAGTTTATAGTCTCATTCCTAGCAAGGGTAGGAAATCTCACTATCCCTGTAGATCTTCCTCTTTGCCCCCAACCATAAATCTCTTCCTTTTGGACCATTTCCTTTTTAACCCAAGTGGCAACTTCATATTTTGTCCACAGTTCTGAAAAGGTCATGGCATATTTGAGACTGAAGTATGGGACGACATGTGGAGGTTTCTGGGCCAACATGGGTGGAATAGAGGAGAAGGGGCCAGGATCCTGCACCTGTCCTGAGGCTCAGCACCACACTGGGTGATAAGTCAGTTTCCTTGTTACTGTCCTTTAGTGATAGGTCCATGGAGGTGAAGCCCAGGACATCTAAATGGATGACCTAAAAGGGGCATCAGGAAAAGGTTTTGCATCCTAGTCACACCAGCTGCTGCTCACCATTCAGGCTCTTCCCCTGCCTGTGCTGGCCCTGCTCTCTGGCAGGTAAATACACATATAAGGGGGTCCCATGAATTGAAACAAATAGGTGAGTGTTTTCAGACATTGCTAACTCCCACCCTTACATTCCATGCTTATGAACATGGCACTTTTCAATTATAGTCTTATTTTTAGTTCCGATTCTACCTATTTTTCCTTATACCATGGCTCTGGGAAAGATAGGTGTCAGGTTTAATATGGAATTTTTGCTTGTTTACATAGAAAAATATTAAATAACATTTATTGAGTATTTACTATTTTCCCAGTGTTCTGCTGAGCACTTTGCATGCATTATGTCATTTAATACTCACAAAAAAACCAATGAGGTAAAAATTATTTATTCTAGTGAAAGATAAAGAAATTGAAGCTTAGCAAGGTTAAGGGGCTAGCCCCTAGGTCACACAGGAAGTGGCAAAACCAAGGTCTGACCCCAGGCAGACTGACTCTAGACTTTGTCTCCAACACTACAGTATATGGATAAGGGAACAGAGGCACAAACAGATGCCAGGAAAGCATTCAAAGTTCCAAATCAAGGATCTGATAAAAAGTATTTTCTCCTGACATTAAAACCCATATTCCACCCCAATTAGCTTTGGTCAACTCCAGAAGCAAACTGAACAGAAAAGAACCAGCTTCATTCAGGAGCAGTGGCCCTTCTCCATCAGATTCCACAGCTCTGGTTTCTTGGTTGGTGATGCAGTGTTCACTGTAAGCTTTCCTTGATTAAGTGCCTGAGCTCTTTCTATTTACAAGCCTGCTGCAATGTAGAAAGATCTACATTCAAGTTCCATGGGACCTAAAGCTTAAGCCTTTTGCAGTGGCTATTTAAAAAAAAAAGAAATATATATATATATACACATACACAATTATGGTGAAAAGGAATTACTTTTTAAAGTGAGAAATAAAGGTGTATCAAATGACAAATGTTGGAATGCTAACCAGGAACACAAACATCCTAAATCCATAGACATATTTCTTCATGAACTGCCATTTTGTTAGTTTGCTTGCTTGATTTTTTTTTTTTTTTGTACCAGGGATTGAACCAAGAGGCACTTAATCATTGAGTCACATCTCAGCTCTATTTTATTTTGAAACAGGGTCTCACTAAGTTGGTAAAGGGCCTCAATAAATTATTGAGGCTGATCTTGAACTTGGAATCCTCCTGTCTCAGCCTCCAGAGTCACTGGGATTACAGGCATGTGACACCATGGTTGGTGCTTGATTGATTTTTTTTTTTTTTAGTTGAGAGTTGAGATGTACAAAACATCAGTGACTTTACACACAGACATACTTGCATTAAGTAGTGTTGTTATAGATTTTTGCCATATAGATGGGAATTCTGACAAATTCTGCCTAAGAAATTTATATCAAAAAAGAAAGAATATGTAGAGCATTTGCACTTGTTTTAGTAGCATTATGAAATATATTTCTTTCAAGTATACTTCTGTTATGACTAAGTATTAAGAATAACTTAATTCTTTATTTATAATTTTACATGTTACAGAATTATTCACCAACTAAGTTCTTGTTCCATCCATTTCAAACTTTTGCTCTCCAGTGTTGGGCATAATAGAACATGCTCTTTTAAGAAAAGCACCTCTGACCCTTATTGGACTAAAATTAAGGTGTCAGCAGAGTTGCATTCCTTCTGGAGGCTTCTAAGGAAAGATTTTCCTTGACATTTTTATGCTTAAAGAAATCTGCTGCTTTCCTTGGCTCATGGGCCCTTCCCCAATCTTCACATATCCCCCAACCTCAGATTCCTTGTTCTATCTCTCTTTTTTTTTTCTGACGCTGATCCTCCTGTCTCTCTCTTATAAGAACCCTTGTGATTCTATTGGGCCCACCCAGGAAATCCAGAATAATTTCCCTGTCTGAAGATCCTTACCTCAATCTCATCTGCTGAGTCTCTGTTGCTAAAGTAAGATGCCCACAGGTTCTGAGGTTGAGGATGTAGACAGCTCTGGAGACTAATTACTCTGTCTATGAAATTGTTCCCAGGGAGGGCTGGAGACGTGGCTAAGTGACAGAGGGTTTACCTAGCATACACAATGCTGTGGGTTCAGCGCCCAGCCCTGAAAAAAAAAAAAAAAGACAGGAAAAAAAAAAGTTCTCAGGGTATTTGGTTTAAGGTATAATTGTTGAGTTTAAAACTAGAGGTTAGACTTTTTGAATTCTGGCCTATATTTCACTGAAATAATACTCTTACTATAAAAGTAGAAATTTTTAAAGAGCATTTTTTTTTCCTGTCCAGAAAGATTTCCTGGACACAAAGACCACCAAGAGATCTTATTCATACCAATAAGTAATATAGATGTTAGGGAAATTGGCTGTCTTAATTTCAGCAATTTATAATGTTGACGAGTACACATAGCAAAGAGATCTGGTCCTCTGCACGCCTCCTGGTGGTCCTTTGATGTCTGCACAATCCTGGGAGATGCACCATGTGCTCTACTACCAGGAGGACTCACTCACTTTTCTCCACTGCATCTCCTCTACTCGCTGTGACTCACACTGAAACTCACTTGGCTCAAGTGAAAAGCTTAAGACTTTCGTTTAACGATGCTTCTCTCTGACAAAAACTCAATCAAGGAAGGCATATGAAAATGGAAAACATTTTCAGAAGAATATGGGTTGCAGATTGCCTCCTACATAAAGTAGTAAGCCAAAGAATTCCTGATCCTTATGAAGCATTCTAGGTGCTGGATAAGTACTTGTTGAATAATTGCACATTTATATATAAGGAAGGAAGCCTGAGGATCACTTTATTTCCACAGAGTAGCTCACTCCTGCAGGTAACCAGGCTGGGATGGAACTGTGACTGTGGAGGCACATATTCCACAATTAGATGGCACAAATATATAAAAAAAAAAGGAGGAAGAGGTGCTGGGATCTAATAAGCGCCTTCTGGACAATGGGCATGAATAAACTCTCTGGAAACTTGTCTGCCATCACACATTGAAACATTCTTAGGGCTGACTCAACAAAGTGCCACCACTGAGTCATCTGGCCACTTCCTGGGTTTTCCCCCTTGAAACCTTCACACCCAGGGTCTGCTTGCACCCCACCCTGTTGGGGGATGATCTCAACAGGGTTCATTAACTAAAGTCTTGACAGACCTGTTTAGTAATGGTCCCCATGGGCACCAGAATCCTATCTCTGGAGACTGACATGGAAAAAGGTTTTAGACATCAACAATTAGTTGGGAATTTTCTCCCAAGGATCATCTGACCTTGAAAGCAGGACTCTCTGGTGAGAGAGGGCAGTGTGTACCTTACAGGAAATTAAAAAAATGACTTCAGGGCATTCCATACTTCCATTAGCCAAAGGGTAAAGTGTAACTGTGGAAACTTACTTCTGATCTTTACAGTAAAAAAGTGAATTGGGGATGTGCAGGCATCAGAAGGAAAGCTGAGCTTAGTGATACCATCTAAAGGAAGGAGTCCCCACAGCCTGGCCTCATCCATTCAGCACATATTGAGGATTCATTCGGGGGCAGCGGGTGTTCCAGCCCTTCCTCCTCCCCTCCTGCCAGTTCTCTTTTTGTTGTTCCCTATTTGAATATTTTTCATACTCAGAGCTGTATAAACTTCTCTTCATCACCAGATTCTTTGATCTAGGAACAATAGCAGCCCTTTGAATAGCAGCATAGGAATATCTGTTACATAATTTCACTTTTTCTAGAGACTTTGAACATAACCATGTCAGGAAATATAAAGTTAAAGGGTTCCCATGGTTTGACCACACCCTGACCTCTTTTTGGTCTTCTTATTTCCTTTTCGTAGTGTTTTTATTTTTTACCCAATTTGGTCACACTCTTTTGAGGCTAATTATATACTGGCCTTGCAATCTTCACAAGATTTGCACATGACAAGTTCTGATTTGCTTGTTAGTCAGTGAAGGCAATCTTCAAAATGAAGCTTCATAAATAACCAAAAGGAAGATTTTATACTCAACAGTAA